AGAATTATCACGACTTCCTCGTATGAAGGTTGTGTCACTTTAACAAACTTACTTGTAATTTTTTTTAAATTACCATAATTTTAACTTTAAATTGTCCCATCATAAAAAAATATCACTATTTTTATAAATATGTAAGTAGAATAACCAGCATTTTATTTTCCGTAGATGATAAGTTATAATATACATTCATTGTTATGTAACTAAATTATAATTACATTTTTATACGACCAAATTACAATGATTTTATTTATTTATTTATTAAATAATTTAATTTTAAAAAAAAAAGTAGTTGTCGACATTTCTTTTCTTTATTTTCCATTTCTGCTGGCACTAATACTAAACCAACCGCTGCGGTTTCATCACTGGCAGCACCAAATGGCAATGGCATCAGCGTCACTCCCTTCCCCTTTCCTCCTCCTTCTCACCTCTATTTTCATGTTGCTTTACCTCTCCCTCCTCACTCACTCCATCAACGCCGACTTCCACCCTCTAATGTCGTTCAAAGCCGCTTCCGACCCTTCCAACAATCTCGCCCAGTGGAACTCCACAACCTCAGACCCCTGCACTTGGTACGGTGTCTCTTGTCTCCGTAACCGTGTCTCTCGCCTCGTCCTTCAAGACCTAAACCTCACAGGCTCCATCCACCCCCTAACCTCTCTCACCCAACTTCGTATCCTCAGCCTAAAACGCAACCGTTTCAACGGCCCCATCACCTCTCTCGCCAACCTCACCGCGCTCCGCCTTCTCTTCCTCTCCCACAACAACTTCTCCGGCCCCTTCCCCGCCACGCTCACCTCTCTCTACCGCCTTGATCTCTCACACAACAGTCTCTCCGGCGAAATCACCCCCACTTTCAACCGCTGGACCCACCTCCTCACCCTCCGCCTCGACTCCAACCGTTTCCGCGGCCGCATTCCCAGCAACATCAACCTCTCTCGTCTTCAAGACTTTAACGTCTCAAACAACCTCCTGACGGGTCAAATACCCGAATCGCTCTCGGGTTTCCCTGGATCCGCGTTTTCTCACAACCCCTCCCTCTGCGGAGCTCCCTTGCAAGAATGCATAGCCAAAGGCGAGGCAATCATCCCGGCCCTGGCTTCCCCATTGAAGCCGCGAAACGACACCGGTTTTTCCAAACCCCGCGGGCGGGAGAGAATAATGGGGGTGTTGGTCTTGGTGGGTATTGTGGTGGGGGACGTGCTGGTGCTGGCTTTGGTGTCGCTGCTTCTCTACTACTATTTCTGGAGGAACTACTCTGCTGCTGCACAATTGAGAAAAGAGGAAAAAGAGAGGAGGAGTTGGAAGACGGAGGATGAGTATAAGGGTGATGGAATGGTGTTTATGGAAGGGGTGAGGAGGTTTGAGTTGGAGGAGCTGTTGCGTTCGTCGGCGGAGTTGTTGGGAAAAGGTGCGTTGGGGAGTGCCTAAAAAGCGGTGCTTGACGACGGAACTGTGGTGGCGGTGAAGAGGCTGAAGGAGGTTAGAGTTGGAGGGAAGAAGGAATTCCACCAACGAATGGAAGTGCTTGGAAGTTTGAGACACTCAAACGTTGTTAGTTTGAGGGCTTACTGTTTCACCAAAGACGACAAATTCCTCGTCTCTGATTACATGTGCAACGCTAGCTTCTCATTCCTTCTCCACGGTAAGTATTGCTTTTTTACTCTTATTATTATTTCAACCCTTTCAAATTACAATAAAATTATTCTGCTTAATGTAGAGAAGTAAGAATTAAAAAAAAATCTACTTTTTTCAACATACCTCATAAATAACTTTGGATGAATTTCTTGATAAAATTTAGAATGAAATTAACAAGTTTAAATATTCGAATTAAAAATTATCCATAATAGGGAAGTAAAATCTCCAAACATTTATGAAATTGTAGAAACCTTGTCCATTCTCCATACCTTCTGATTCAATTATAAACACTTATCATGAGAATAGTTGTTAAGTTTATTTAATATATATATATATATATATATATATATATATAAAGAAGCATTTTTCTTAAACTAGGATGAAAATGATATATTTAAATTTAAAGATAAGAGTATTTTTTAAATAATAACATCAAATAAGATTTAAAAACACTACAATTTTACATATAGCTAAATCAATTAGATTTTTTTCCCCTTATATTTAGTTTAAGAAGAATATAAATTATCCATCTCTAGCTCCAAACTAAAACTCAGGCAATATACTTTTTTTCTCTAGTCTTCTTTATACATATGTAGACTCTAATTGCTGTGATTTTCTACTTTACTTAACCTAAGTTATGAAATATAATTATCCTTTTTATTAATTGTATAATTTATTTTTTAAATTAATAAAAATTTCAATTTCATCCCTCACTTTTTGAAATTTATGTAATATTACCTTTTCCAATATTAACAAATAATGGTACGTGACAATTACGTGTCACTGTTTATTCTATTAGATATAGAATCAATTCACTATCATGATTATGAATATTACGATAGAAAATTTTCTCAATAATAGAAACAATATTTAATGTATTAAAACAAAAGGATATATCAGTTTTTTTATAACTTTTTTTCATAAAAGCATTTAGAATGGAAAAATAAAAATTGCTGAAAATTAAAATCAACTATAGGCTTTTTTAAAAAAAAAATTAGTATCTCAATTTTTTTAAAATATATATAAATTACTTTTAAGATATGAAAAATTCATTTATATTTCTTTTACTTTATTTTAACTTTTTTTCTTTCCCATCTATTTTTTTTATAAAAATAATTGTGGAAAGATTCCTTCGTGCTATCAAAGAAAATCTAGTTCTTAAACTATTGTTTGAGATTTTCTCAGTAATTTTTAAAATTTGTCAATTTATAATATTTTTATTTTATATACGAGTTCACACACTTTTCACAATATATTTCTATTTATTTTCCATCTTCTTCTCTTTAGTTGAAACAGTCACTCTCTTCTTTATTTCTCTTCTTTTATCCTTTCTACACTTCAACCTAATTTCCCCATTTTTGTCGAAGGAAAGATTAGACATAAAATATAGTGTGTAAGGTTAAAAAATGTCACCACCAAAGTCTGGCACCCAAATTATTCATCCATGATGGTGTAATGAATAAGACAGCCATGCATGTAGGGTACCAAAATCAAACTAGTTATGTTTTTGTTTTTATGGTAGGGGCCCACATTGATCATGCATCTTTCTTTGCATCAAAACATCAACCTGCACTTCTTCCTTCACTTTCATTTCTTGCTATTTTTTCATACGGTGAATTTCAATTTTCTACTAATTTTTTATGGTATTATTGTTAAAAAATAGACTTTAAGTCTAATTTGATTTCACAAAATCAGTTTCTAAAATGAGATTTGAATTTGTTTATATATTATAAATTAGTTTTATCTTTAGTTAGTGTAAAACTTTTCACCTAATTATTTGTTAAATTTTCAAAGTACAATATTTTAAAAATTTTCTTAATATTATTTAAAACATCAGAGGAAAAAGACCAGTAAAATGAAGCAGGAGTAGTAAGGGTTTACTGCTAAGAAGAACAGACTGCATTTCTGTGTTAGATTCTTTCCTTATAAAAGTGAGGAAAAGAACAGACACACTTCGTCTATTTTCTTCTTTGCTTTTTGTTCTTTTCTTGAACAACCTTCGGTCTTTTACTTTTATCTTTAGCCACCCAAAGCAGAAAATGTAACTAAAAAAAGCAAAGTAGGCCAATCATAAACATTTGAACCCTTATACAAAAGTGAGATGCCCATGCTAATATACCATATTAAACTGGAAAAGCCAAATTATTAAGATACTTAATGCCATTTTCTTCTATTGATTACCTTTAGGTTATGTATGTTTTTCTTTTTTTAAATTTACTTATTAATTAAGCCTTCTAAATTTAAATTAATAAATTTTAGCCTTTACTTCTTTCCCTTTCATCAAAAACTGATAAACTCTCTCATTTTATACCTAATCAATTGAGGTGATACGATGAATTGAACAACGTCTTCGAAATTAAATTACAGTCAAAATTTGAAGATAAGAAGTCTAACTAAGATTTGAACATCTGAAAGTATGATAGTTAGTTGATTAATTTTTTTATGCTTTTTTTTATAAATATATGTAGAGACTTGTGTGTAAAAGGGAGGTTAATATTAGATTAAAAATGAACTTAATCTTAAAATTAGTTAATTGATTAAGTAAAATTAAAATCTAAAATTAAAATCAAACCTTATAATTAATATGACAAGTCTTTACACAAGAAATGACCGATATTTGTTATATTTATCCGACTTCTTTCTCTATTAATTAAAATGTACTAGATTTCTTAAAAAAATCAAATTTACTAAATATTAAAATACAACAGAAAAAGATCACTAAATGAAAAGAAACTTTCAAATAATTTATTTATTTGTTAGCAAATTCAACTCATGTTTTAAAGACGTGTTTACAAGAAATGAAAATAGCTATTGAAAACTTTGGAAGAATAAAAATTGAAGAAAATTATGTTACAGGAATTAAAATAAAAAATGAGATCTCTTGTAATAATTTAAAAGATATAAAATTATTTAATTAGTTGGTAATAGAAAAATATTAAAAAACCAAAATAAAAAAATTACATGGGGTTGAGAAGGGGCAAAAGAGTAAATAAGAAAAATGAGTGTCATCCGACAGGTAATCGAGGACCAGGGCGGACCCCACTGGACTGGACAACGAGGTTGAAGATCGCAGCTGGAGCGGCACGAGGCGTGGCATTCATTCACAAACATAAACTCACCCATGGAAACATCAAAGCCACCAATGTTCTTATTGACGTGGCGGGCAACGCGCGCGTCGCGGACTTTGGTCTCTCCATCTTCGCTGGCGCCTCCATTCTAAGATCCAACGGCTACCGGGCGCCAGAGGTATCGGACGGTCGCAAGCAGACACAGATGTCTGACGTGTACTCCTTTGGCGTCTTATTAATAGAGATGCTGACGGGGAAGTGCCCCTCCACCGTGGTGGATCTCCCCAGGTGGGTCCGGTCGGTTGGGAGAGAGGAGTGGACGGCCGAGGTATTCGATTTAGAACTGATGAGCTATAAGGACATTGAGGAGGAGATGGTGGCGCTGCTGCAGATAGCTATCGAGTGCACTGAGACCGAACCTCATCAACGGCTCAAGATGAGCCACGTGGTGAAGATGATTGAGGAATTGCGTCGGGTCCAGATGTTGCCGTGTGATGAAGGGTTGGAATCGCTGTCTGGGTCACTCTCGATCCCTGAAGCAAGTGCAAGTCAATGATGCCGAGGAATATTGTAGATTAAAACATCATCGGATATTGATTATTGTTTTTCAATTTTTTCTAAAATTATTAGTATTATATTTGGGTATTTTTCTTTTGTTTTGAAAATTTTCAGAAACTTTTATTTTGATTTCGTCTATGATTCAATGTAAGCTATGTTTTATATTAGGGAATTAATAGTAAGTTAATTAAAGTAATGTGGATTTTATGAATAATTTTAAATAATTCGCAACTGCTTTTCTTTTTTAGTTTTAATATTTTTCGGAATTTAATATTATTGTTTAAATTAATCTTCCTCGTGTAGTACACACATACAATTTAGATTCTTAGTCGTTTAATTTTTTTAACATTAAACAATTTTGTTTAATACTATTATGTTATCTAGTTATTTATTGGAGATGTTATACATTAGATTAAATTTGTAGTATCTATTTTTTTTAGAAAAATATCATATTGATATTTCTTTTATTGTACTATATGAATCTCTGTATTATTATGTTTAAGTGATAGATATTAAGTGATAGATCGGTCAAATTACCATGAGATTATTACTAACATTAATTACCTTAGAACAAATTATGATTATGAATTGTGATTATGTTGTTGTCTGTTAATCCAACAAGTAAAAAAAATAAGTGATTGTATTTAATGCACATTAGTTATTGTAACTATTTGATTATTACTAACTTTAACATCAGTATATCTTCTGTATGTAATCTCTAGTTTAATTGAACTGGATTTAAAGATGAATGATAATAAAAAATGAGACTTGAATATTAAAACATACAAAACACAATAAAAGAGACAACTTCGATTCAACGGAAATATTTTGACATCNTATGAAATTGTAGAAACCTTGTCCATTCTCCATACCTTCTGATTCAATTATAAACACTTATCATGAGAATAGTTGTTAAGTTTATTTAATATATATATATATATATATATATATATATATATATAAAGAAGCATTTTTCTTAAACTAGGATGAAAATGATATATTTAAATTTAAAGATAAGAGTATTTTTTAAATAATAACATCAAATAAGATTTAAAAACACTACAATTTTACATATAGCTAAATCAATTAGATTTTTTTCCCCTTATATTTAGTTTAAGAAGAATATAAATTATCCATCTCTAGCTCCAAACTAAAACTCAGGCAATATACTTTTTTTCTCTAGTCTTCTTTATACATATGTAGACTCTAATTGCTGTGATTTTCTACTTTACTTAACCTAAGTTATGAAATATAATTATCCTTTTTATTAATTGTATAATTTATTTTTTAAATTAATAAAAATTTCAATTTCATCCCTCACTTTTTGAAATTTATGTAATATTACCTTTTCCAATATTAACAAATAATGGTACGTGACAATTACGTGTCACTGTTTATTCTATTAGATATAGAATCAATTCACTATCATGATTATGAATATTACGATAGAAAATTTTCTCAATAATAGAAACAATATTTAATGTATTAAAACAAAAGGATATATCAGTTTTTTTATAACTTTTTTTCATAAAAGCATTTAGAATGGAAAAATAAAAATTGCTGAAAATTAAAATCAACTATAGGCTTTTTTAAAAAAAAAATTAGTATCTCAATTTTTTTAAAATATATATAAATTACTTTTAAGATATGAAAAATTCATTTATATTTCTTTTACTTTATTTTAACTTTTTTTCTTTCCCATCTATTTTTTTTATAAAAATAATTGTGGAAAGATTCCTTCGTGCTATCAAAGAAAATCTAGTTCTTAAACTATTGTTTGAGATTTTCTCAGTAATTTTTAAAATTTGTCAATTTATAATATTTTTATTTTATATACGAGTTCACACACTTTTCACAATATATTTCTATTTATTTTCCATCTTCTTCTCTTTAGTTGAAACAGTCACTCTCTTCTTTATTTCTCTTCTTTTATCCTTTCTACACTTCAACCTAATTTCCCCATTTTTGTCGAAGGAAAGATTAGACATAAAATATAGTGTGTAAGGTTAAAAAATGTCACCACCAAAGTCTGGCACCCAAATTATTCATCCATGATGGTGTAATGAATAAGACAGCCATGCATGTAGGGTACCAAAATCAAACTAGTTATGTTTTTGTTTTTATGGTAGGGGCCCACATTGATCATGCATCTTTCTTTGCATCAAAACATCAACCTGCACTTCTTCCTTCACTTTCATTTCTTGCTATTTTTTCATACGGTGAATTTCAATTTTCTACTAATTTTTTATGGTATTATTGTTAAAAAATAGACTTTAAGTCTAATTTGATTTCACAAAATCAGTTTCTAAAATGAGATTTGAATTTGTTTATATATTATAAATTAGTTTTATCTTTAGTTAGTGTAAAACTTTTCACCTAATTATTTGTTAAATTTTCAAAGTACAATATTTTAAAAATTTTCTTAATATTATTTAAAACATCAGAGGAAAAAGACCAGTAAAATGAAGCAGGAGTAGTAAGGGTTTACTGCTAAGAAGAACAGACTGCATTTCTGTGTTAGATTCTTTCCTTATAAAAGTGAGGAAAAGAACAGACACACTTCGTCTATTTTCTTCTTTGCTTTTTGTTCTTTTCTTGAACAACCTTCGGTCTTTTACTTTTATCTTTAGCCACCCAAAGCAGAAAATGTAACTAAAAAAAGCAAAGTAGGCCAATCATAAACATTTGAACCCTTATACAAAAGTGAGATGCCCATGCTAATATACCATATTAAACTGGAAAAGCCAAATTATTAAGATACTTAATGCCATTTTCTTCTATTGATTACCTTTAGGTTATGTATGTTTTTCTTTTTTTAAATTTACTTATTAATTAAGCCTTCTAAATTTAAATTAATAAATTTTAGCCTTTACTTCTTTCCCTTTCATCAAAAACTGATAAACTCTCTCATTTTATACCTAATCAATTGAGGTGATACGATGAATTGAACAACGTCTTCGAAATTAAATTACAGTCAAAATTTGAAGATAAGAAGTCTAACTAAGATTTGAACATCTGAAAGTATGATAGTTAGTTGATTAATTTTTTTATGCTTTTTTTTATAAATATATGTAGAGACTTGTGTGTAAAAGGGAGGTTAATATTAGATTAAAAATGAACTTAATCTTAAAATTAGTTAATTGATTAAGTAAAATTAAAATCTAAAATTAAAATCAAACCTTATAATTAATATGACAAGTCTTTACACAAGAAATGACCGATATTTGTTATATTTATCCGACTTCTTTCTCTATTAATTAAAATGTACTAGATTTCTTAAAAAAATCAAATTTACTAAATATTAAAATACAACAGAAAAAGATCACTAAATGAAAAGAAACTTTCAAATAATTTATTTATTTGTTAGCAAATTCAACTCATGTTTTAAAGACGTGTTTACAAGAAATGAAAATAGCTATTGAAAACTTTGGAAGAATAAAAATTGAAGAAAATTATGTTACAGGAATTAAAATAAAAAATGAGATCTCTTGTAATAATTTAAAAGATATAAAATTATTTAATTAGTTGGTAATAGAAAAATATTAAAAAACCAAAATAAAAAAATTACATGGGGTTGAGAAGGGGCAAAAGAGTAAATAAGAAAAATGAGTGTCATCCGACAGGTAATCGAGGACCAGGGCGGACCCCACTGGACTGGACAACGAGGTTGAAGATCGCAGCTGGAGCGGCACGAGGCGTGGCATTCATTCACAAACATAAACTCACCCATGGAAACATCAAAGCCACCAATGTTCTTATTGACGTGGCGGGCAACGCGCGCGTCGCGGACTTTGGTCTCTCCATCTTCGCTGGCGCCTCCATTCTAAGATCCAACGGCTACCGGGCGCCAGAGGTATCGGACGGTCGCAAGCAGACACAGATGTCTGACGTGTACTCCTTTGGCGTCTTATTAATAGAGATGCTGACGGGGAAGTGCCCCTCCACCGTGGTGGATCTCCCCAGGTGGGTCCGGTCGGTTGGGAGAGAGGAGTGGACGGCCGAGGTATTCGATTTAGAACTGATGAGCTATAAGGACATTGAGGAGGAGATGGTGGCGCTGCTGCAGATAGCTATCGAGTGCACTGAGACCGAACCTCATCAACGGCTCAAGATGAGCCACGTGGTGAAGATGATTGAGGAATTGCGTCGGGTCCAGATGTTGCCGTGTGATGAAGGGTTGGAATCGCTGTCTGGGTCACTCTCGATCCCTGAAGCAAGTGCAAGTCAATGATGCCGAGGAATATTGTAGATTAAAACATCATCGGATATTGATTATTGTTTTTCAATTTTTTCTAAAATTATTAGTATTATATTTAGGTATTTTTCTTTTGTTTTGAAAATTTTCAGAAACTTTTATTTTGATTTCGTCTATGATTCAATGTAAGCTATGTTTTATATTAGGGAATTAATAGTAAGTTAATTAAAGTAATGTGGATTTTATGAATAATTTTAAATAATTCGCAACTGCTTTTCTTTTTTAGTTTTAATATTTTTCGGAATTTAATATTATTGTTTAAATTAATCTTCCTCGTGTAGTACACACAAACAATTTAGATTCTTAGTCGTTTAATTTTTTTAACATTAAACAATTTTGTTTAATACTATTATGTTATCTAGTTATTTATTGGAGATGTTATACATTAGATTAAATTTGTAGTATCTATTTTTTTTAGAAAAATATCATATTGATATTTCTTTTATTGTACTATATGAATCTCTGTATTATTATGTTTAAGTGATAGATATTAAGTGATAGATCGGTCAAATTACCATGAGATTATTACTAACATTAATTACCTTAGAACAAATTATGATTATGAATTGTGATTATGTTGTTGTCTGTTAATCCAACAAGTAAAAAAAATAAGTGATTGTATTTAATGCACATTAGTTATTGTAACTATTTGATTATTACTAACTTTAACATCAGTATATCTTCTGTATGTAATCTCTAGTTTAATTGAACTGGATTTAAAGATGAATGATAATAAAAAATGAGACTTGAATATTAAAACATACAAAACACAATAAAAGAGACAACTTCGATTCAACGGAAATATTTTGACATCTAGGATTTTATAAGCTTTTCCAATGAAGAGTTTTTTGGTCCTACAAACTTCTTTGGTCCTAACCCATATAATTCACTTTCAAGCCCTAAATGAACTTTTTCAATGAAAAGTTTTTTGGTCTACAAACTTCTCTGGTCCTAACCCATACATGTCATTTCAATGAAAAGTGAGCTAAATAGACATCTCTACTCGTCATTTCCCGAACTTAATATAATTCACAATCTATTATCCTACCACGTAAAAAAAAACACATTATGTTATTAAACATAATTACTTAATGTTATTTTTCACCGTAAGGTATTATATAGTTAATTATACATTAAATAAAATTATTCTAGTGATTGGTCCCTTACCAGAGTTGCACACAGGATGATTGAGCCTCTGCTCAGTTATTACATTGCATGAATTTAATGAATACCAGTGCAGAATTAATAAGAAGCAGTGTGCAAAATTTATAATCGGGTGATGGATTTGTGAACGTTTTCACTGGAAATGTGACAGCTATCTACTATCTCTTAAATACTATATATGTGATGATAGCAATGGTGGCCTAGCTATTTAAATGGTATACATGTGGTGCTGGTAAATGGCAGTTCAATTGGGTAGTTTGTACTTTGAAAAGATAAACTATTTTATTTTTATTTGGATCTTTTTGAGTAACTCCGATAAAGAAAATAAAGAATTAATATATATGTAAATGTAGAGACAAAAGAGAAATAGAAATAAATAAGTATTTGCTCAAGCAGCAAAAGACAAAAAAGTGTTGAAGCGGAACTGAAAAAAATAAAAATAAAAGAGGAGTTCAATTGTAATATTAAAGTTGTACATTACTTTCATTTTTGAATTTTCCCCATTTCTCCTGTATTTTCTTTGGGTTTTAAGATTCTAATCCTAAATGGATTCACTTTTATGGCTTCCTCATTAAAACTAATATGAAGTTTCCTTGATCTTGGATGTTATTAAATGATTATGGACACTAAAGTCTTGTTAAGTTATGATAGTATTTGTTTACATGAGTGCTTTATATATATATATATATATATA